TGAGTACTGTACAGTATGTGTGGCAGACAGGGTTCATACACACCTTCATTCATTTATATTTATTATATAAATTACACACCTGGAAGTCATGAAATTTAATTAGCATTTAGTGTAATTTATAGAAATCAGAGATGTCCAAAAAATACAAAATATAGTAAATCAACTTAACCTCAAATGTTTTGTCAAGTCCACATCAACATTTACTTTTAATTTTTCTCATTAGTACAGTACAAGTACTGTATTAGCATTATTCCTTTGATGTAAATACTGTACCAAACTAAAGAAATTATTTATAGTATGTATTTTTCTAATTGAATTAAATGAAAATATTGCACTAACATTTGATCATAAAAATTTGTTAGCGTGTCTCTGAAAATCCTCATGTACTGTACTTCTATACAGAATACTTAGAGGTGGTTCGTGATTCTCTTGCCACTGTGAGTGAAGACTGTAACACACAAATCAAAGAAGCGCACCGAGAGCTCGACATGTTATTACTTCACCAAATTGGTTGGCGGACCATCACGACAGAATTCAGGTTAATAGTTCCAACCTTTTATGTCTGTCCATGGGTCAATACAAAATGTCATTTTTGTTCATTAACTTAAAAAATTATTTACAGATCAAAACAAAGGTTGGTATGCAATACCATAAGATGGAAACAGTTTGATAAACACCAATACATGAATACGTACAGTTTTATTTCTTGAATTGTGGACCTTCTTTAGCTATATTCCTGTATGGGCATACATTACCTTCAGTAGCTGATAAATGGTCAAATGATAAATTAATAGTTTTTGTACATTAATAAATTTAATTGTATGCATTTGATGCACATACTGGTAATATATTAAGTATTGTTCAGTATACAGGTTGACAATCCCTTATCCGAAATCCTTGGGACCAAAGACATTTCGGATTTTGGAGTTTTTCGGTTTTCAGAATGGTTATTTTTTTTATTTTTTTTTTTATTTTTTATTATGTGTGTGTATTAGCCCACCCGAACCCAGATCACTGACCCACATCAGGGCTTGGGGGGGGCGAAAATATAATAAAAATTATAATAATACAGTAATAATTCATAGGTCTAGGTCGTGTTTCTCACTTTTGAAACTTTTTTCATTCTTGTATTTCTTTATTATTATTATTATTATTTTATTATTACAGTACTATTGTTATTATTATTAATTTTATTATTATTATTATTATTATTATTATTATTATTATTATTGTTATTATTATTATTTTATTTTGGTGTACTTTTATTAAAAATTTTATTTACTATGAATAATTATTATTATTATTATATTATTATTATTACTATTACTATTACATTTCTCCTCCCCCAGGCCCTGATGTGGATCAGTGATCTGTGCCCGGATGGGCTTTCAGAGCTTTTCGGTTTTCGGAATTTCGGATAAAGGGTTGTCAACCTGTATAACCTTTATGAACTTCACATCTGAACTTTCTAAACCCTCAAAACAATGTGATCACTTCCATCAAATAAGTAATTACAGTATGTGTTAGATTAATGCCAGTAAAATCAAACAGTAATGGCAGCTGCATATGTGCAAACCTTAGAATGGTACGGTACAGTGTACTGTATGCAAAATATGGGAGGTAAAAAGTACTGTATTTATGTACACTCAGTAAAAAAAATACCTTACAATTCTTGTGCAAAACAAAATGACACCACAAAGGAAGGTTTTTGATAAAGGCTCATAAGGCATACTGTTGTTCACCAATCAAATGCAACAAACTATTGTAATTTCATAATTTGAATTAAATAACTAAATTAGGCCTACCGTAATAGGTAGGGAATGTCTCACAATCACGCCTACCAACTCTAGCGAGACAACAGAATTGTTCAGTTCCAAATTCATCAGACCCCTCTTGAAAGATACTTTTTTTACCGAGTGTACACGTTATTTTGGTTCTTGTGAAGTCTGTATAAATGACGTATTGCTGGATGTTTACTGTCCATGTAATTGTGGTTTTTTGTTTGTACATAATAGTTTAGTACAGTACAGTTAATATGACATTCAAATGACGGCGGTGGAGTATAGTGGTGCCAGCTATGATGTCTCCTTATTTATCAAAGGCTTAGTTTTCAGTGTGCTGGATACATGCTGAATGCTGACCCTATCAAGCCACCAGGCCTAAGGGACCCAGTTTCACTTTCACTTCAGTATTGCATGAGATTGAATAACATTAAAATGTATTATAAAATCTTTAACATAATTGAAGTTTTCAGTAATACTTTCTCTACTTACAACTTTCTATTCACAGACTCTGCACACCTTTGGATGCACGGATAGCAGATGATGTATCAAATATGTTTTCTTTGCTGGCAGAGAATATTGAAGATGTGGTACAATATAATAAAGACAACCGAGCCTTTGAGGGAGTCAAGGGCACTAACATCACCATTGACACAATATGTGGCATAATGATGAATGAAGATGAAGAGCCTATTGACAGGTATGACACAGAACAACATATTCAAGTTTCTCATAGTTTGACATAATGATTCTTGATTTATTGATTTGTGACTTTACTAACACACTGAAAGTATTCACTGCTAAAGATTGAGTTACAAATATATGCAGTCTAGTATATTTTTTTACTATTCCTAAGGGATAATCAAGTAAATAAGGAAATAATATAGGCACACTTAGCTAACAGGTAAAATCTCATTGATGGCAGATAAAGTGAGTACTGTACTGTACTGTACATCAGTATGCTTTAATTTACTACAGTATATTTATTTAGCAAAACAGAGGATGAGATCTTCAAAACTCTACTGTATTTAATAATCATCAGAGTAATGTGGAGGAGAAAAATAATTTAAAAACATACATCTGTACAGTACTATATTGTTTTTATTACACTAGCAGGTCTATGCATGATATTGTTTCTAAGCTACGCAGTCACACTCACTCACAAAAATTTATTCCTACACTATTGGAAAAAAATCCTTTGTCTGACTTTCTTTAACCTAATTAAGTTTGATAAAATGTTGAGAATTTAGATGTCCAACTCTTGACTCTGACCTGGCTAAACACAATACAAATAATGTTTACATGCTATTTCCATGAACCTATTACAGTGGAGGCACAATAATACACATGGTAGGTACCAGAAGACATCACGAATTATCAAATCGTGAATTATAGTTTAATTTATTAAAATGGAAATACCTGTACAGGTAACTGTCAAAATATGCTCGGAAACCTGAATATCACTGGACAGAGTTAAGCTATCATGACTTTTACCTAGAAAATAGTTACATACATATACAGTACCATTTGACAGTACAGGTACAGTACTGAAACTGTTTCATGCTTAGGTTTTTAAATGCTGATTTTAAAGATAAATTTATGGTTTCCTGAGATTTGCAGTATTAATAAATTTCTTCTAATGTATTACAATATTTTTACTAGATATGCAGACGTCAACTCAATGATTTTGGATGTGTATGGGAAGCCATGTCTAGAGCACACATACCATGCCATGATAGAGGAACTGCAAGCCACCAGTTGGGAAAACAATGAATCTGTTGGGGGTAAGTGTATCAATATATGTGTGTATCCATTACACCATCATCCAGGTATCTCTCTGTCTGCAAATTGAACTACAGTACAGTAATTACCACTAAGCTGTGTCTGATTTTAGCAGAAACAAAGTACAGTAATCTCCCCATTAGCTGGAACAATTGGTACAGAGTGTTTCTGGGTTTGAGAGATTTCCGGGTACAGTATTGATACAAATTCTCTTATCCTCAGAAAAAATTGCACATTTACTGAATTTTTCCAGGCATTGGTGAATGTTTCTGCATCTAAACCACATATCTTGCACTAACACCATTGCTACAGAGGCTTAACTGCAGTCAAATACTACTGTACTGTACAAGTACAGTAGAATAAACTCCCTCTAACTTGGACTCGCTTAATCTGGATCCCCTTGTACACGGCCCAAGGATTTTGAATTATTAAATGATAAATACTCTGTAATAGCTTAGCAAAGAACTGTTAGTTGGCCACATGAGCATCTATGATGATCTGACAAGTACTTGTAGGTAGGCACTTTTGGTTTACTTGGTGGTTGAGGATCAAGTTGATCCTTATTTGGAACTACAGTACTTAGACTTATACACACACATATATAGAAATAACATCATATCCATAATGTGTAGTATTTTAAACACAGTGGAAATGAAGTTAGTGTGCAGTAAGATATCTAGGTTATTTTCTTCATCCTGTAGGTCGAGCGTGGATGTATCAAACGTGTACAGAGTATGGGTTCTATCAGAGTTCAGACTCGGAAAACCAACCATTTGGAGACAAGTTTCCCATTGAGTTCTTCATTAAGCAGTGTGAAGATATCTATGGACCAAAGTAAGTATCATTGCCATTCTATATTACTCTTTATTTATTTATTTTTGCAGTCAGCTGTTTATGGCATCTTCCACTTTGCTTAATGGGTTCCACAAAGTTTTAATAAGTGGCTTTAATATTATTTGACGAGGTGAAAGCTGGAGAGCTGCCTGCAGGTAATCATGGCTAACTCACAGGAGCTTGGAAAATTGCTGTAAAATTAAGGTAACTGAAATTGCAATATAGTACTGTACACAAATTTGTGATAAACAAGGATTATTTATCTGTATTTTTAAGTATTGATGTACTCCTAAATGACCACCCACATTAGAATAAATAGAACTATAATTTGAGTACAGTATATATACATTTCAAGAAATTTGAATAACTGTAGTGTACTACATTCCTGTGAATTAATTGGTGAGTGGTGTACAGTACTGTACAGTATTGTACTCTTTTGGTAAGTGTAACTCATTAAGTGTCAAGTGTGATTATATATGATTAAGTGGCACCTCCTAGACCACCCCCCTCCCCATGGCTATTACTGTATAACAAATTATCTTTTGTGCAGGTTTAACCTGAGTCTCCTAGAAGCTGGTGTTAAGAGAACAAACACAATCTTTGGAGGACGGGACCTGAAAGTGACTAGAGTTGTTTTCCCCAATGGCTCTATTGATCCCTGGCATGCCCTTGGGATTACTTCCGATATCAGCAATGATGCCACTGCCATCTATATAAATGGTAAGTCATTTTGTATTGTATTAAAATCATGTCTTAATTTCCCATGTTTATAGCAAGGTGACATGTTGAATTATCCCTCAGACAGTTCAATTATTTTTACTTAAAGGTAACATCAGTACTCATTAAGATTGCTCAGCATTGTTTTTTATATGGTTACCATGTCTTACAATGTAAATTGAGAGTGAAGAGTGTAGAGCAGTGGTTCCCAAACTGGGGGATGTGAGGTTAGTACGGGGGGGTGCACTACTCAGTCGAGTGTCCATACCTGGAGCTGGCAGACCTCCGCCCCACAAGGGGTCACAGCTCAAGGTTGAAGAAGCAGCAAGTCCAGAAAACTGTGAGGGCGAACTTTTTCAGAGTGAGAATAGTGAACTCTTGAAACAATTTACCGAGTGTGAGCTGTTTCAAGACCAGACTTGACCAGCACTGGAGCAGGTTCATATACATTCAGGAGCCATTACTTGCCAACAGTGTGTAACAGACGTGACCGACCATCCAAGCGGCTAATGAGCCGATCAGTGGTGAAGAGGATAAAAGTAAAAAGATGCGATAAAGCAGATCGTGTTTATCTGTACTGTACTGGCATTCTTTTTCTTTATTATGATAATTTCAATAAAATTTTGTAACATTAATTTACACAAGCGGTAGTCTTGTACTGTATGTCATATTATTTAGTTAAAAAATATACTGTACGGACTAAAATTTTAGCTACAGTATGTGAATTGTTCTTACAATATTCTTATACAATACTGCTTTAGCATTTATTAATTAATTTCTGTTACTAATTTACAAAATTGTGTTCCACCTCAAAAAATTAAAAGCAAAAATAAAGTGAGTTGGTAGTTGCCAGATACCACTGTCTGATTGAAAGTTTCTGGAAATTGGGACATCATTCATTTGGGCGATGTACAGGTTGTACCTCTCTAGTCCGGCATTCTGTGGTCCGGAAACTCCCGTGGTCTGGAACGATTTTAGTTTGCCCATAGAGAAAATTAATTTGAGTCTGGTACTGTACTATCGATGTTTGGCTAAATTTGGCCTTATTTACCCTACTTTTTTGGCAAATTACTACCTGTAATAAAGCAATATCCAAATAAACCAACAAAAATGACACAGATAAAGCTAAATAAAAACTAAAAACAACACAGAAAAGTTCTTATGTTCTACAGCTTTAGCTAGAGTTGAACCTGATGGCTTGGCAACTTCGTCATCTGAGTAAAAACACACACAACAACATTGGCTGTCTTTATGTTTTCAACTTTACCACCACTGGTGGGTAGAATTTTTGTTTTAAATTCAGAAACATTAATTAAAATATATATGAACAGTAAATAAGTGTTGCTTTTATATTCTTATGTAGAGTAATGACGATATGTTTACACATGTGCTCACTTACATACGTGATCTCACTTTTTTTTTTACCATTAATGGTTAGCTACTTCCATTGTTCCATTTATTAACATTAAATAATATTACTTAAAACAACCATATTAAGTTTACTACAGCTACAACCAGGGTCTTATTTTCTTCAGTTTTATATGTAGAACCAATCAGTCACTGGTTTTGTAAACATTAACGAAAACAATACCGTCTCGTCTCCTCGTGTGTTTTAATATTCCACGTATTATTAATGAATTGTTTTTGCCGTCAAAATTTTAAATTGTGCAGTGTTTCTTTTTTTGTCCAAATAAAAAACGTCAAATTAAAAACTCGCGAAATTTGAGAACCTACTGTACAACATTTAACCCTTCAATATGTCTTCAAAGAGACCATGAAGCAGTGAAAGTGGTGCTAGTGCTTCCAAGTGTATGCACAAGTCACTATCTATCCAGGAAAAGGGTGAATTTCCATGGTCCGGAAATTTCCATGGTCCAGCACTGGTCAGGTCCCGAGGTTGCCGGACTAGAGAGGTAGAACCTGTACATGTTTTGTGAGATAAGTTTTTTTGTGGAAAGGTCTGGTACGTAGTCCACCTTTTACTTTGGACTGGATTCACTTTGCAGAACCTCATCTCAAAATATATCTCCCATACTAAGTGAGGGATGGGTGTATGGTACAGTACTGTACACATATTACATATATGGAATTTTGCAATACTGTACTGTACAGTATTTGGATTCTGTTGGCTTGTGCAAAATATCGATATGGAAAGAATGACATTATGCAATGATGAGCTTAAATTTTGATTCTCAGGACCAAATAAACTAATTAAAAAATTCTGATAACTCTCTGTCTCATTACAAGGAACTGCCCACTGTGCCAATGAGTACCCAGACTCCCCAGACGATCCATCTCAGTTGACAGCTGCCAGGGAGGAGGTATACCAACTCATTACCCAGTGGCTTAATGAGGAATGAAGTGCCACTCATCTTCAATTTTAATTATTGCCACTTAATGGATGTGGTATAGGTTACAAAAACCTAATGTTAACACTAAGTTTTACCTTTGCATTTAATACTTGCAGTTAAGTTTTTGGTAAATGAAAATTTATATTAATGTGAAATTGCACTTTACTAATTGGACTGTATTGTGTTTAAATCTCTTCAGTATTATTCATAATAACCTGGACTATATTGAATTTTAAAGTTTGTTAAGGTTTTTAAATAAAATAAGTTGACTTTACCTGAATTAACTAAACTTTATCTCTACTTAAAATTTATACTCGTACAGTATTTCAGATTTTAGCTGTCCTTCAGTACACCAGCAAATATCATACAAAGTTCAGAAGTTTAATAAACAAATTTATTTATTCAAAAGACAGGTGTTTCATTAATCACTGTTGTACCTATTAAGGCATTCTGAAATTATGGACAACAGTTATTAAATTTCCAGATTTGTTTCATTTTTATTTTTTCAAGAAAACCCTTTCTGAATTAGGAGCATGGAAGCTAGAATAAAAAGCAACTTATTACTCCACTTCAGAGAACATTATGTTACAATAGAGATAACATACATCTAAATGCACTGGCACTGTAGCCAAGATTACATTTGGGAATGAATAAATGATAGAACATTTGCCTTACAAGCTTAGGCATCTCTTGATTTTATTCTTAACTGGAATAGAGAACCGAGTTCCCTTCCCACACACTCAACAATGAAAGGAGTACACATTGAGTGTACTTGTCATAAGTAAACAATCCTTGCCAAAGAGATGGATAAGCCACTAGCTGCTAATGCAAACTAATGGGATTAAACACTTGATTAGGCACCCTACATCATAACAGAATTGGGATTTACATGCATAAAAACTACTGCTCTAAAATCTACAACATGGTTGACAGCTTTCCATTTTCTGTGTCTTAAATGAAGCAGTGTGAAGATTCTGTTTTGGGTATTTGTAAAGGTATTTATACCACTACTGTATATTTATCAATTAAATTTTATTGGTTCGACTCAATCCAATTACAGGTTAACACAGTTGAACCTCTGATCTGACAACCTTGAGTCTTCATCAGAGCTGGATTATAGAAATTTCTGATTCACAGGTTCAAGGAAGTTTATATATGGTATAAGCTATTTTGTGAAAATTTCCTGGAAAACTAGAGTAAAGTACTCGGTTAGCTGATCTTCCCTGCATTCATTAACTACAATATTTAGTGCTTTATTTAATACAGGTAGTACAGTATTGTGATATGCAGCAAGTTTGAGGCCAGAAACAAACCAGATTCAGGAATTTTCTGAAATTGGCCTAAAATATGAAATAAAGTACAGTACAGTATAGAAAATATGTTGAAGGTTAGAGGATGCGGCTACCAGATGACTACAATGAAATCTACTGTACTGTACATACAAGTTTTTTGTTTCTAAAATCATTTTAAATTCTGAAACTATGGGGTATTGACACTAAGGTCATGGGGTCATTTATCCCTTTGTATGTCTCGGGAATACATCCCCAAATTATGAAATATGTTTCCGCAACACTCTGTATATCAACAACACAAAGTATAACTTTCATTGCAGAGACACATATGTAAACCACATGCACTTACAGTCATTCCTTTCTTTTGTCTTGCCTACTCATATTTTGAGTAACATTATTATTATTATTATTATTATTATTATTAATATTAATATTGTAACTAGTAGAACTTTCAGAAAAATGTCATGGGTTAAATGGTGGCAAATAGGAGTGATGGTAGGAAAGAGAGGGATGAGGGCTTTGTTGGGAGGTGTGGAGGTTTTACTTGGCTGAGGTGGGGGAGCATATTTCCAACACCTACAAGAACAGGCTTATTAGTACAGTATACTGTACAGCCACCAGCTTTTCATGGTTAGCTATAATTGTTGACCTGACCACCGCTGTTCAAGAAGACACTTCAGTTTAGTCCCATCATAGATTCTGTCCAATTTTAGATGACATAGGAAGTTGTACGTATTGTTGCAAGTAGTGTAAAATATTTCAACATCTGTTTGCACTCCAGTAACATGCACTATAACCAAATGTAGCTGATGGTTATTGCAATGCACATATGGTACCTCTTTCTGAAGTTGATCTTGTATTTTCTTTTGAACACCTCCATGTCTTCCTGACATTACAGAAGCACTGTCATATCACTGTGACAGTCCTTCAAAGTTTGCAATATTGCACAAGATAAACTTGTATCCAAAGCATTTGTTGTTAGCATACCTACTAAACTTTCATGTACAGTAATTTTCCATTCTTTACATACTGGACAACCAGGGATATGTTTTCTGTATTTGTCGGATCTTTTATTCTATCTGCTTGATAGTAAAGAAAGATATGTATGGTTCTTTGATGTCAGCTGTTATATTTTTTATGACAATTTCCATCATGGCCTGAATTATTTAATTTTGTATCTGAACAGAGATGTAAAATGCATTCCTTGGAAATGTTTGAAAAATGTTACTAAGCTTTTCATCTTTAGACAGTGTATACTGGAACAGCTTGAAGAAAAACTCGCGATGATTAAGGGATTGGAGGTCAGTTGTGGCGCACTCAGCGAGAAACATTAACTCACACAGTGAAAAAATCTTCCCTTTAAGTTTCACTTTCACAGAGGTAGTACAGTGTAACTTAAAATCAAACAATGTGTGTCTCTGAGAAGTGTTTCAATACATCTAAAATTATTTTTTATTGTAGTATGATGTACAAAAAAGCCAACAAAGAACTTTGAATGTTACTTCATATACACAATTTTTAGAAAACAAGATCCATAAGTAGCATTAGTTGACTTGCAGTCCATTTTCAAATGGGGAGGGAAACAGCAGTAAAAACTGGGGGAGCAGTGCTCCCTATGGCAATGGGCATGGCTGTGAGTTACTGCACCAGTGACAATAATAATAATAATAAGGGTGATAATGGTGATAATAACATTATTAAACCATAGTGTCAGTTTGACTTTATAGTAACACAGACAGAGACTGACAGACACACACACACACACACACACACACACACACACACACACACTACAGTACCACAATGAATGTCCCTGTATTGTTGCTGCCTGTACTCACAGTGGAGTGGACAATACAGTATCAAGTTATTTAGGGAAATTAAGAACCAAGCAGACTGTGAAGAGCTGCAGAATGATCTCTTTGCGCTTCAAAAAATAGTCGAAGAAATGGCTGCAAAGACTCAATGTCACGAAGTGTAAGAGGATGTACCTGGGATGCACCAACGGTAAGGAGGCATATCTTATGTCCCATCGGGACGAAGAAACTGCAGTAGCAATAGACTAAATGCGAAAAGGATCTGGTTGTGTATGTTGACAATGAATTGAAGTTCTCGGGCCATTGTGAGAAGAAGGTGAATCAAGCAACTAAATTAGTAGGTCTTATAAGACGGTCGTTCATATATCTAGACGGTCCATCCCTCATAACGATCTTCAAGAGTGAGGTGCTTTCCCGCCTTGAGTACTGTCACCCCATCTGGTCCCCGAGATATGCTAGGGACTGTCGGTTGATTGAAAATGTCCAAAAGAGGGTCACCAGAGTAGTGCCTGTACTTCGGGATGTCAGTTATACAGAGATTAGCTTATACTACAGATGGGCAAAGGGGGACCCAACGTAGGTGTATAAGCATCTCAAAGGGCACTACTCAGTCGAGTGTCCATACCTGGAGCTGGCGGATGCCTGCCCCACAAGGGGTTGAAGAAGCCACAAGGCCAGAAAACTGAGTGAACTTTTTGGGAGTTTGAGTTGTGAACTCTTGGAATAACCTGCCAGAGAGTGTTGTGATGGCACCGAGTGTGAGCTGCTTCAAGCCCAGACTTGACCAGCACTGGAGCAGGTTCAGATACATTCAGGAGCCAGTGCATGCCCAGTACTTGCCACAGTGCGTAACAGAAACATGACTGACTGCCAAAACGGCTAACAGGCCAGTGGCAAAGAGGATAAAAGTAAAGTAAAGAAGATGGAAGGAGAGGAGAGATGTTGAGTAAATGAGAGGAAGAGGAGGATTGATATTGATTTGTGAGTCATTAAGCTGGAAATAGTATCTTGTAAATTGTAGATTATAATGTGTATTTGGCATCTGGCATGTATTGTATGTAGCACATTTAATGCCATTCAATAAAAAAAACCTATATATTTCATATCAATTAGATATTATTGAGGTTTGGATTTTTTTATGTGTGCCCCCCCCCCTTCCCTGTAACGTGTGAGCAACAAACTAAACACTGTAATAAATCTTAAGGTTCCCCAAGTTCAAATTTTAGCACTGGCCCCACCTTAAATTGTCTCAAGCCAACATAATCTATTGAAAATAACCTTAAAACCTCCTGCAGCTCACCGTGTAGGGTCCACTCAAAAACAAACTTGGGTCTCAGACTACTAGTACAGTATTTTACACACTATGCTGGTCAAGCTCATTTTGGTCTATGATTATTTGTGGAGTGTCTATCTACCTATTTGAATATAGGACTCACATATACCATTAGTCTTATAAAAATTTCCCGTATTTTATTGTTTATGGTTAGATCCTGGCTGTTCCACACGTGGCCAAGTCTCTCGCTATCTTTACCTTCATGGAGCAAGTGTTAGTACTGGAGCACCTGGAGAACACCTGTCACGGTCCCTGGCGTCACATGGACATCACAAGGTAGGTAGATAACAGGTAGCCTCACTCCCATAGGATCTACGCTAATGAAAATAAAATGAAATTTTTATTTACATATTTTTGAAGGCTTATGATGGTATTAAAAGTTGTACAATAAATGTATGGAATGGAGATTTTTTGTTTTATTTTAATTGGACCCACTGATTAAATATATAAAATAAATATAAATATCTTACTTGCGACCGCAGTTAATAATAATACCTCAATATTACCTTGCTTACATCAGACCCAAGCGGGAATCGAACCCTGACAGCAGCAGTGAGAGGAAAGAAGTTAAACAATCATTTGGATGATTCGGTAATTTCCATCCACCTTGTAGCAATTCCTGGACACCAAAGGCTGTTATTCTTAGTTTGGTTAAGTTACATATTTGTATCTACTTGTCTTGCTCAGCCTTAAATAATTCTGATTAAAACATTAGGGTTGATGGTAATAATAAATCTCATCTGTGGAAGGATGGAAGTGAAATCCAATTAGTAACTTGTAGCGTGTTGACAGGCTGAGTCCGGAAGCATCAATGTGGCTTCGTGACACTGTATTCTTCTCCTCATGTATCATAAAAGATTGAGATATTACATTATCCTGAGTCTGAGGTATAATAGGTTGGTATTTCACATAATACATCATACCAATGCTAATTTCACACCATAATTTGCAAGTAGCTTTACCGTTTAAAATATAATGTTTTTATGTTATTAGGTGCCATAACAAATAAGCCCACCAACTCTAACGTAAATATAAACACAGAAGGACTCAT